ATTCTTCTAACTCCTTTCATTATTTTTAGAATATACAGATAGGTTCTACTGTTTCCTGTGGAGCAGAGTTTGGTTTAAAAGAGTAATTATTTGGCATAAGCATTAATTGGTATCTGAAACATTAGTACTTATCACTTTTAAAAAACGATTTTAAATTACATTTTTCCCACGGCATGGTGGGAGAATAAGAGTTCTGGGGCTTTATTTCCCCCCCCCACGCCTTTTATGAAATAACTAATAATGAAGACATGTTTGACATGCTGTGAAATGCATTTTTCTAATGTGAAATTTCTGCCTTTTGTTGGAGATGAGACAAAGTCCCTGGAGGATTTTTGAATTTGTAAATATAAAATTATCTGCCTCCATGATTCTTTTCCTCCTCCTCCCCCTTTTTAAAAGGCTGGAGGGAAGCCAGATTACTTACATTACTGTAATAGATTTGATGACCTCTGACTTCTGCTGCAGAGAAGTACATTGAATTTTTCATTACATCAGAGGATGCAGAAAGCTAAAAACTCAAAATAGTAGGCACTGTTATTTAATTCAACATTTAACAAAGCAAAAAATAAAATTCTGACGAGAGGAAGGGAAATAGGTGCAATTAAATGTACAATATCTCTGTACTGAGTCAAGATTAAAACAACAGTGATTTATTCATCCAACCTGTATTGAATATATATATGATAATCTCGCCTTTCATAGTCCTTGGATTTAATCAGGAGCTCAGTTGATGACAAATACTTCCCTACTGTTTCTGCTTTGGGCTGGAAAATGTTGGTCTTGTATTATTCCAGAGGGGAGAAAATAGCCCTGTGCTGTTCAGAAGTATGCTGCCTGCAGAAAGATTGTTCTTTAATACATGACTGTTTATACACTATTTATGTTAATTACCCTATAAATAATGTATTTTATTAATTTGAATGTATGAACTGGGTTTATAATAAAAGTCCTCCCCCCTCCCCAAATCCTGTCAAGGACCCTGAGTTATTAGGCAGCAGGTTATCTTAGTTGTCTTCTTCCCCTCTCTTCTCTTTTGTCTATAATCTTCCTCTTTGTCAGAATTCAGACTGGTGTTTTCTCAGAGCAGGAACCTGTCTTTTGAACACCTCTTGTAAAACTCTTTAAAGCAGTTGTGTATATTGATGGCACTATGCTAACAGTGGCACAAGGAACAGCAGTTGTTATATTCCCCCCCCCATGCATGCATTCTGTCAGAATTCCTTCTTATGAGTCCACAGCCCCTGTCTCCCCACATTCCTGCATAAAAAGTGTTTTCCAATCTTATCAAGTGAATTTTGTGTTTGTGGTGCATTTAAACATATTCTGGACCATGTTCTGTTAATGTTTGCAAAATGGCCTGTTTTCTCTTACACAGAGTTGACCAATGTTTTCTGTTGACTGGCAACTATTTAATACAAAACCAAACTGTTAATTTTGCAGGCGGGTTGCATTCTGTGGAGATATTTTTTTAAACGGGGAGCCACGCTCTTCCTGTCTTGGGAAGTAATGACCTACGGTTGACGAAATGAATTTTGTGTGTGTGAGGGAGAAAGAAAGAGAAATGTTTTAGGAGCACATCAGTTGAAGGCCTAAATGTTCCATGAGCTCTATTACTATTACAGCTTCTAATAATCAAATGATAAGATCACATCCTGTGGATAATTGTGTTGTACTGTGACAGGACAACTGAAGGAGGAGGGGAAGTCTCTGCTGGACATTTTAGCAAACTGAAACCTTGCTGCCAGTGGTTGCAATTCTTCATGGTGTTAGGCTTCTTTTGAATCCTCTAAGCTTTCTGTTGTTTCTTTTCAAATTTGTTAGAAAAATGAAAAAAAGTTACTGCTGTACAGAAATAGCACTTTGTTAGCATTTTATATAAAAGGGAGAGAAGCTGCTGTGCTAGAACAAGCCATCTTTATGTTTCGATTCAATTTTTTTACCTTAGTCATGCCTCTCTCTAGAAACAAGAAACATTTAATTCCAGATTTCCTGCTGTTGGCGCTAGGCTTTTGACCAGCTATGCAAAATGTATTTTTACTGCTGTCTCACTGCCAACTGCTGAGCTCAGTTTTTTTAAAAAAAATTACAAAGATGGAAACATACTCCTAAAGCTGTACTCTCATCAGCCGTGTTTTCTAATTATCAGTCACTAGATTTAATGAGTTGTAGGACTGTATATGGCAACAAAGAAGCAGAATGCTTTTTTGAACTGGATGCTCAAAATATAAAATGGCCAGAAAAGGTTCCCCAGAAAAGTGCTAACAGTGATTAATCTTGTCACGTCTGACCTTGTACCCTTTCCTGCTTTAACAGTGAGGGTAATCACACAGAATATTTTATTAAAAGGGCTAGTGGTGGTTTAGTATCATCCTCTAATTTAAAGCTATGAGCTTCTTTTGAAACATTTACCGACAGAATATGTAGATTTCAAATGGGCTGCTTGTTCCCATGGCAACCAAACAAAGTCAAACACTCCTTTCTGCAGTGCTAACAACTATTGCCACAAAAAATGTATTTTGGTTAAATCTGATTCTTTAAATATTTAACACATGGCAGAAAAGATATAAATATTGCCCTGGATGAAACCCAACCCCTGTTTTCTTTGCTGAAAGTCCCAGGCATAGGAGGATGTTCAAGGGTGCTTTAAATATTTTGTGCTTGTTACAAATGAAATTTAGCAGCCTCAAGTATGAACAAGATTGTATTTCTTCCCCCACCTTTATTCTGTCTTGTTATGCTTCTTTTTTATTACATAAACATTAACTGTACCATTACAGTGGGAAGCAAGTTTTTTTGGCAAAGTACATTTTATATTCCTAAGCCTGCACAGAGAGAGACATTTGCAGATTTAGCAGCTGTAGCATGTTTAAACTCAGTTTGTAATGGGATCTGAAGACCAATATTCCCTATGGGCACTGCTTAGCTTCATTACTGGACTGCTGCCAAACTCAGGGCTCAAAAGTATTATTCACGCCTCTCTGCCCATACCCGTGTCAGAGCATGCTCAGTTAATGAATTTTATTTCTAATATAGCGTAAATTAGGTTTGTATTTTAACATAATTTATGTTGTATTTTATTAAAGTATGAAATACTATCATTTTGAGCAAGCTTAATCTTAGTTCTCTTGAAGCCAAACTGTGTTTAACATTTAAATCAAAACTGCATGGCTTGGAGCTGATTCTGCAATAGCCCCCACCCCCAAACCCTGGAAAAGGGATCTGTGCCTGAACAAAAGAGTTTTCTGCCTTGAACTCTGAGATTAAGCTATAATTAAGGAAGTCTGATAGTTGAACAGATTAATGCTGCCTGGAAAAACAAAATACATTTTCTTCGCAGAGCCACTTCAAAATGTGTTTGCCATATTGAAGTTCATATTTTTAAAAACCAGAGTCTCACATTATTCTTCCTATGAGTCATTCATTAATCATGTTGTGTGCATTATAAAAACTTTAATCATGGATGCTGAAATCCAGATTGTAAAGCAGCCTAACTTTTTAAATAACCTTGGTGAGTTTTTCCTTTTCGGATTAAGAGCCACATTGTGGAAGGAAAACTTGTTGATTGAAGCATTGATTATTATGTCTCTCCCTCCCCCCTCTACAGCAGTTTTCCACAATTAAGGAGATAAAGTTCTGAGATTAAAATTCTTTTGCTTTAATTTTTTTTACCACAGTGCCAACAGCTTGTCTTTCTTTATTCTTTCCAGAGAGAAAGAGTAATGCTAACTTTTCTAAAAACAGGAAATCTGTGCTAGTAAAAAAAGATGACACTTTTTTTTCCCTTCATAATATGTGATGCACTAATAATGAAAATGAATTCAGGATGGCCCATTCATTGTGAAATAAATGGTGCTGGATAATAGAAGTTCTAAGTGGCCGGGGATTCTGCCGTAACTGCTGGTATGTGTGAAAGGCATGGCACACATGAGAGATAGAAATTTGGTGGCGCCTCACCTGACGTTTTTGTTTAAATCATGTGTTTGTCCTTACTAAATTCCTCCCAGTCTCTGTCTGCTGTACAGATCTCTCTAGCTGTTTGCTATGTGGATGTACTATTGTACACCGTGTTCAAAGTTCCAGTAGTTGAACAATTGCAGTAGCCAGAATTATGTTCAGGATATATGCCTGTTTTAAATGTAGTTCTGTAAATTATGGTGGTGACTATCTAGTAATGAACAACCTCCTGCGTGCATTCTGAAGTATGCCAAGTCACACAAGTGGAACACAATCGGGAACGCAAGCAAGAGCTGGTTCATTACCAACAATTCACTACCAGAGTTTACACCATTACACTTAAACCAATATGAATCTCCAATAGGATTCTGACCACCATTATCATATCAGATCTGTTTTGGTGACAAGATTAAACTCAGGAACAGAATTGATGTTCTTTTTGCCCTAAGTGCACATTGCTTTTATGAATCCAACCTGATTTTTTCACAGTTCACAATTCCCCCTCCCCTTTGTGTATTAGCTCTAGGATATATACTGAATTGTAATCAGGAGCTTCTGATGTACCCAGGTCACTGTAGAGGTAGGCACAGTAACTATTAAAATGAAACTCAGTTGAAAACTATGGGATAAGCAGTAGATCACCCAGCCCCATTTAATGTCTCCAAATGGTGCCTGAACTACATTTACCTCCTTGGATAAATCCAAAGCACTAAAATTAAGTAGAAGATTATCTTAAATGTATATCTTAAAAATGTAAAATATGATTTCAAGAAATAAATGTTTGGAAAGACATATCTTCACATAGCCTGACTTGGCTGTAGATTCCTATCAAGGCTTTACCTGATGGCAAATCCTGGTTTGTGGCAGCAAAACATGTGAAAGGGTCTACACAGGAGATTTCAAATTCTGCACTCCTGTCACTTTAGTTCTTGCTATCTGAGTATTAAAATAAAGATTTTCTACATTGAATTTCTTAAAGCCACTGTGATTTTTGTATGTGTGTGTTGGGAAGAGCTTCTAAAACTGATCAATTATTTGTTCTTTAGATTAATCCTACCATATGAAAGATTTATTAAGGGAGAAGAAGATAAGCCACTGCCCCCTGTGAAACCTCGAAAACAAGATAATGTCACCCAGGAGGGAGAAAGTAAAATAAAATTGTCTGGAACAAAACGCATCAAAAATGAAAACCAAAAGAGCAAGAAGGAAAAAGACAATGCACAGAAACCCCAGGATGCACCAGAGGTTAGTTTTATCCTCCTTTTTCTTCCTTTATCAATACAGTTTCAATTTGTTCAGTGCTGTTGTACAAGCAGTCCAGAACCCATTCTTCTTAACTAGGGGACTTCAGAAATAGTATGCTTTCAGTGCCCATACCTGTCTCAACCTTTTCCTGATAGGAAATCTTAAATTTCAAGACCTATGAGGGTATATCCATCGTGTACATACATGAATATGTATCAGTTCAAAGATGATCTGTTCAGAAGAAAGTACCACTTCTGCAAAACTTAGATTAGTAATATACCTGTCATCCTTTTGAAGCCATGTGTACACAAGTTACACATTTCAGAAGCCTATTTTTAGAAAGAGTAGGGAAAATGTCTCGCCTTAATTCTGAAGAATCTTTGATAGTTCCATGAATGTAATTGTGGAGGGTACACAGAAATAGCTTAAGGGATTCTACTGCCTAAAGCTGAGGACAAGATTGTGTCCTTCCTGCTTCAGTTTCTAGAAACCAACTAGATTAGCTAGAGAACATAGATCCTGCAGAAGGATGCTGTTGCTGCTGACCCTTCTGTGCCACAAACATCTGCTGCCTGAAAAAGTGAGCTGATTCTCTCTTATCATACTGTAGAGCTTGCTCTGATGGCACATAAATGCTAAGAGTTTATACTGAGTATACCTAGGTGTCAGAATTCACCAAAACAAGTTTTTCAGCAATCAGTTACAGTGATATACATAACAAGGTAGTCTGGGGACCTCTTGTGACTGGTGATTATTGTCTCATAGCAACTTTGTTTCCACTTCCAATGCCACTTTTGTAATTTGGACACTTTCTGGAACAAGTGCTTGTACCAATGTATTAGGCTCTGAGGTTCAAGCTAGACATGGATGGGAATGCTTATTTCCTCCATGCGGTTATTCTTGCATTCTATGGTGAGATTTCTTCAGAAAGGCCTGCCTCAACAGTCAGACTTGCAAAGTAAAGCCCATGTTTACCCATCACCATGATCAAGCAGAAAACAAGGCACACTCCATGTACCATGCATGGGGAAGAAAACTGTATCCTATGAGTTTGTTTCTGAAAATGAGCTAAGCATATATTATGATTTTTTAACTACTGTGTCAGCACGAGTCATCAAGTAGACTTAACCTAGGCATACTTAACCATTTTCAACGTGATAAAATGACTGACAGATGCTGGCTGAAATCCAATAGTAAGTCCCAGTTAGAGTCAGGCCATTGAGTCAGTAGGGATTTGGTGAGTCACCTCTTCTGTAAGTTCCATAGGTCAAATGGGCCTATTTTACTGTAGTTGTGACTTGCTACTGGATTTCCTGGTATGTGTGTGTATGTATTTGGTGGTAAAATTTTCTGATGCTGCCACTCTAATGAGATAAAATTGCAAATTATCACATCATCATTATCCCTAACTGCCCATCCTTGGGACACTTTCACTTGCCATTTTACTTTGTGGGTGCAGAATGATAAAACCCATTTCACAATACCTGAAACAATGAAGGAAAAGCAAAAATTGGCAAAGTAATTCAGCAATAAAGTGTAAGTTAAGAGGTGAATCAAACTGTGAGTTATAGATGGGGCTGTGCCCAAGAAGCATTTGAAGTAAAGAGAGCAGATTGCTGGAAGTATGCGAAGGGGAGGATTTTGGGTCATAATGTATATTTAACATTTGCTTGTTCTCTCTCTCTCTCTCACACACACACACACACACACACACACGCACGCTCACACACACACACACACACACACACACGCACGCTCACACACACACACACACACACACACACGCACGCTCACACACACACACACACACACACACACGCACGCTCACACACACACACACACACACACACACTCACTCACTCACTCACTCACTCACTCTCTCCATTATATAGAATGGACTACTTTCCTCCCTTTTCAATGTAGTTGTCAACCAAGACATGTTTTGAAAAGATACAGTCTTGATTAAAACATACAGATCTCTGAAGCAACTGCGAGATTGCAACACAAATGGCCAAAAGCAAGGAAATTCAAAGTTAAGGCTAGCATTCCATTCCTCATTCATTCCTTTGTGCCATATTATTTATTGCAGGGGGTTTGGATCAGCGAGTTATGTTACATACCATATGTGCTGCAATAGCTAAGCACAGCATAACAAGCTAGCAATGGAGTGTCAGTCTAAACTTTGAACTTCCTTGCTTTTGTTGTTTGGTATCTCAAATTTCCTGCTTCTTAAACTGCAGTTATTTTTTTATGTGAGTCACAGGTCAAGTTCTTAGATGGAGAGTACAAAGTGCATAACACAGAATGCAATTATGTGGGCTTCCTACAGCAAGAACACAGTAGTATAATTTTCTTCTCTTGTTGCACTGCAATGTGAATGTTTTAGTACCGAATTGTATGCATATATCAGGAAGTTTTTGATGCTTTTAAGTACCTCTGAAACAGTTTTCATCCAGTTCAAAAATATATTCCTAATTCTTTCACTTGGAAAATCCATATTCCTAATTCTTTCATATATTAAAACCCAGTGTAACAATGTCTGTGTTGTGGATGTGCATTTTAGTTTTGTAAACCAAACTATGCAATTGTGTAAAATGATTACATTAGACATAAAATTCTGCCATCAGCTGAGCATGGTGCTTGTCAGGATAGGAAGGGAATTTATGAAAGACTGTGGGCACAGTCCAGAAAAAGTTGATTGCAAGCAATCATATCCCAGGGCACTGAAACGTACATCAGCCCGGTATACAACCTACTTAATTGCTTTCAGATTGGATTTAGTTTCAATTATCATTTGCGAGAGTGTGTCCATTGGCCTGGGCACACACTGAACCTTTGGCCTCAAAATACATGATAAACATACCAAATCATTTAAACAACAATGCCAGTTCTTCTTTTCCATAGCAAACTACAATATATATTTTTAAAAGCCCTTCCACCAAAAAGATATGCCCAAAGTTGAAGGTCAGAAGTTCTGCATTTCTTGGATTTTGATTCTCATCAAAGTAAAAAATCCAAATAGTCCAGTGCTAGGCTGTATTCAGGAGTCTTTTTGAGGGAGATGTTATGTGTGGCTTAGATGAAGTCAAGATGACCTGCAAAATCACACATATGGAAGAGAAAAGAAGAGAACTTCGGTTAGGGTTGCCACTTGCCCAGCCTGGTCAGTAAGTCTGCTTCATGGCCCTTAGTTTTCTCTTTGGATTTGTTACCTTCCACTCTGTTATGATTCACGAATCTCATTCGCACAGAAGGAAATGCCTCTGATGAGTTTTTCTTTGCCACAATATGTACATGCATTGTCATGTAAAAACAAAAGAAGTATGCCCTTCTTCAGAAACATACAGATGTACAACTGATTAATAAATTAATGAATAATTAGCATTTTTGAAATGATGTTACCTAATTAATCAACCACATAAGCACAGGCCACTCATCTAACCCAGCCTTTTCCAAGTGTGGATCACCAGATTGTGTTGGTCCAGAACCTTCATCATCAATAGCCATTGACCACGCTGGCTACTGGCTGGAGACGTTGTAGTTCAACATTTAGGACTTGTGTGTTAGGAAAGCATAAAAAAAGAAAAAAGTCTAAAATTTCAGTCCTCCTATTTGGTTTGCATGTAAATGTGAACTCTGTGAATTCTAGTATATGTGGCTGACTCTCCTGCAACCCTGGGAAATCCAAAATTACAACCAACTCCAGCACATGTATCTGTCAGGAAGCTGGACATGAGTTTTACTAAGAACTGCACTAATGCATGGGAATAGCTTCTGTACCTTGTAAAAGTGTGGTTTCATCTAGTTAGACTGGTTTAAAACTAGCCACGGAAATTTGCAACCCTATTACAAGCCCTGTTCTCTATGGTCTTTTATCAGTACGGGTGGTTGGCCAACAGAGATGCTTTATCTGAACTACAGTGCCATGCCTGCCCTGCTTTGGCACATATAAATGCAGGCCATACTGCTGGTAGATTAATGGTTACATTGAATTTCAGGAGCAGTTTTGCACAGTGTGTCTGGAGCTAGTAGAAGTCACAAGCCCCCCTGCACATGCTGTAATACCTACATATCTCTCTTTGTTATTCAGTGCTTGGAAAAGTGAGTTTTTTGGACTGTTATTCCCAGAATCCTCCATCTGGCTGAGTGATTCAGGGAGTTGGCAAGAAAAAAAACAACACAAACTTTCCCAGAATGTGAGGTGTTAGAGCTTCTGTGGACATGGAGTTTCCAAATAATTAGTCTTTTTCAGCATATTGATAAAATTAAGGGAAAAGGGAATCTTAAGAAAACCGCAAAGAACAAAATTTTTGAGGCACTTTTAAGTCTAATAGATTTGTTTCAGTGTGAGCTTTCATAGCTCAAATTCACTTCATCAGATGCAATAATTGTCTGAGAAAGTAGATTCTAATCCACAAAAGCTCACAATGAAACAAATGTCAGGTTTTAAGGTGCTGCAAATATTTTGTCTTCTGTTTTTCTTTTCTACCAACTTTTTAACCTTTAATTTTGCCAGCATGTAGACGTGAAGATAACTCTTAACCTTGTACATTCTCAGAAACATATGCTTTAATTTTTAATATTAATTATATATTTCTTTATATTTTTATTGAGACTAGGTGATTCATATTTCCAATTTGAACTCTAAGGAGAAAATACTCTATTACTACATCCAAAATGGTTATGTGAATGGACCGCTGGTTGCAGTTTAGTTTAGCTTTACACTTTATTCAGTTTTGTTTTTCTGGTTATAAGGTAATATATTATTATTCCTACTCTATCCATCGCTCTGACATAAGTTAAATCTCAAATCAAAGTGTTTCCCAGTAGAAAGAAAAAAGAGAGCAGGAATCTAGTTATTAAATATGAGTTTTTCTCTGTCTGCTTTGGTCATCTGTCTGGTATTTTCCTGTAATTGTATAAGCTCTGGGGGCCAATGATAGAATTTTTTACAAAAGGGCTAATGTTGGTATTTGGACTGCAAAAGGGTTTTTTCCCCCCTTTTCTTTTTTGAGTTGCTTTGCGGAAAAAATTATGGAAGCAGTCACAATGAGTAACGGACATTTTAACTAATAGGAAATAGAAAAAAAAACTCAGAGGAAAATGTAAAAGTAGCTGCAAAGACATAAATCTTGTAGAAGATTGTGATTCATTGGCTGCTTTACATGCATCTCCTACACAACTCTGTCTAATGCAGCCTTTAGATAATAACTTTCTTGATGCCCCTGTCTTTACAACAACGAAAGATGGGAAAGTTGGGGGGGGGGACAATAATAGTAAAAGAGCTCAGACAACACTACTGCTTTATGACTGCCTTCTGCTAAGAAACATGCCAGAGGAGAATGACAGTAATTTTGAAAAGGGTTGTCAGTCAGCTGTATCACCGATGGAGCACTCTAATAACCTTCCAGGTCACAGTTCATTCGTCTCCATAATGCGATGAATAGCCAGAATTGAGTGCACAAGCTTTATTAAGAAGGGAACATAAAGAGATGCAGCCTCATTGGCTATAACCTGGGAAAGCTATATCTGGAGGAAGGCAAAAAATGCTTTCACTGCATGTTGACAACTTTATTCTGATCTGTAAATAAAAGAGACCTGAACTGAACCGCAGTGCCGATTATTCCCAAAGGAATCTATGATGCTTTGCTCTCGCCCTCACTGTGGCAATCCCACTGACATAATTTTAAATATTGTAGTAAAGATGGCTAATTTTGATAAGTACAGGTTTTAATAGAACCATGAGATCAGATCTAAAATAGGAATAAAAGAAGTAAAGGCAACCACATGTCGGTGTTTTTTTCTTCTTCTTTTTAATGAAGAGCTCCTTTGTAATCCCACTCAGTTGCACAGTGAACACAGCAATATTGATTCTAAAAGATGGCCTCGGCATAAATGCTGCCTGGTTAGCATATCAGTAGAACCTATGTTGTGCACTTTGGTAACATTAAAAAAATACTTATTGGTTGAAATCCTGTTGTGTTGCTACACAAGAGGCATAATCTTTGGAGAGGAATTGCCTCAAGTTAAGAAATTTCTGTAGACATTATCCGTGGCATGCAGAGTTTTGCAACTCAGTATGCAACTGATAATATCTATAGAGATTTCTTAACTTATAGCATTTTGCTTCGAAAAGTTACACTTCTTGAATAGCAACACAACAGGATTTCAATCATTGTGGCCTTAAAGGAGAGGTGTGCATTAAAAGATCTTTTTTTTTTTCACTGAACCATTCTCAGTTATGGGTCCCTAGCTTGCGTTGGTTTATAGTGCCCATCATCCTGGATCAGTGGCCATGCTAACTCAAGGAATTCTCTAAGTTGTAGCCCCAAAATAGTAACTTTCCCCAGCAGTATTTAAATGTTATAATGGCTATTAAAGCATTTCAGTTTCAGGACTGGGACTGTTGAGTTCGTTCTCAAATGTGAGTGGTAGATATTTTTTTAAAAAAGAATCTTCATTTTACACTGCTTTCTTACAGTTGTCTATTTCAATGTCTTATTAGGTTTCATCAGAACAAGAGAAGGATCAGGAGTGTTCAAACCAGAAAAGCTTATCTGAACTAACAGTAGCAGAGGAAATGAAGCTGTCTGTAGAAGGGCCCCAGGTGCCCCCATCAGGTGCAACTGGGAGAATATCTTTGGAAGACACTGAATCAAAGGAAATCAGTTCAAACTATGAGGAAATCAAGGAGGAGAAGCCATCTGATGATAGTTTTTCAAGTGCTTTGGTGCCCCCCAAAGAGAACATTGTCTTGGATCCCACAATCAAGAAACTCCCCGGTCCATCAGAAGGCCAAGAAGAGCCAAAGCAGGAACAACAAGCACCTTGTTTTGTTGACAATCTAGAAAGCGATGCCCAAGATACTCCATTTCATAACTTCCCCAACATGCAGCTACCACTGCCAGGTCAAAATGAGATGGAGGACGATAAACTTCCAGAGATGGCAGACTACATTGCCAACTGCACTGTTAAAGTGGATCAGTTAGGAAACGAAGACATACACAATGCACTGAAACAGAGTCCCAAAGTCCTTGTAGTACAGAATTTTGACATGTTCAAAGAGAAAGAACCTCCAGGTTCCATAAATGGAGATCCCTGTTTTGGTTACACACCACTACTCTACTCCAAAGGCAACCCAGGCATTATGTCCCCTCTAGCAAAAAAGAAGCTTCTATCACAAGTCAGTGGGGCAAATGTCTCATGCAGTTACCCATATGGCTCACCTCCGCCTTTGATTAGCAAAAAGAAATTAGGTGGCAAAGATGAGCTGGTGCCAAACATCCCACAAACCTCTCACACCCCTGTGATGGATGCTGTGGCAGTCAACCGCCCATCAGTAATTCAGCATGTACAGAGTTTTAAACCCAAGAATTTGGAGGAAAGGAAGTCTGCCAGTGAAGCGTACCGACACGAGTCACTACTAAACAAACCAGATTCGGAATGTTGTGATTTTTCGAAACAGCACCTGACCACTCTGGCAGAATCCTATGCGCTGAAGTCAGAAATCCAGGACATGAAAGAAAGAATGAATGAAAAACGGGCCCTGCACCATTCCCACATGCCCAGTTTTTTGGCAGACTTTTATTCCTCCCCTCACTTGCACAGCCTGTATAGGCATACCGAACACCACCTTAATAATGAACAGACATCCAAATACCTCCCTCGAGACATGTACAGAGAGACAGAAAACATTTCAATGTTCCCACAGCACAAGCACCAAGACAAACGGAACTTAACCTATCACCCCCCTTTGCATCAGCAAGAGAAAAAGAGCCCCCTGGGAGCCTTGTCGGATGACCAGCCTACCGATCTGAGTCTTCCCAAGGGTATTCACAAACAGACTGCTTCAAAAGCTCTGGGCTCCTCCCTCTTGCACACTTCAGCGGGGCAACAGGACAATAAGAGCATCTCCCAGTTCCAGGTTTTGAGTGGCCAGTCACTGAGTGTGGACTGCCATCCCAAAGCTTGCCGGGTTTCCCCAATGACTGTGTTGGCCCCCAAGAAGCATGGGGAGCCCCCTCTCATCAGGTCCAGCAAGCAGCCAAACCTGAGGAAGATGGAAGGCATGGCCCATCCCATCCTAAGTCATAAAACCAACGCTCAAACTGTCGGGGCAGCTCGACCTCTGAAGCGCAGCCTGGAGGATGGGGACAAAGCCATTTCAGAGAAGAAAGTCCGAGCCGTCTCGCCCCTGCGGTTACCAAAGGAAGCCCCTACAAAGGAGAAGGGTCTTGAGCCCGAGGCCGAGGGCAGCAAATCAGTACATGGCTTACCTCCCAGTGGCATGCTGGAGGGCCACAAATTTCCCCTCTCAAGCCCTATCTTCACAGGCTTGTACCCTGGGACTTTGTGTGGTAGCCTGAGCAACCGCATCCCAGCTGGGTACTCCCATCCTCTGCAGTACTTGAAAAATCAGACAGTGCTTTCTCCTCTAATGCAGCCTTTGGCTCTCCATTCGTTCATGGTGCAAAGACAGTTCCTTACCTCCCCAGGCAGTTCACAGCAGCTTTACAGGCACTTAGCTGCGGCAACACCTGTAGGAAATTCATATGGTGACCTTTTGCACAGCAACATTTATCCTTTGGCTGCTCTCAATCCTCAGGCTGCTTTCCCACCTTCTCAGCTATCTTCTGTACATCCGAGCACAAAACTGTAAATCCTCCCTTCAAAAACAACAGATAAACTACATTCCTTTAGCCTGTGATGTCCTGCAAAGTTTAAAATGAAACAAATAATCAATTATGTGTATTAACCAGAAAGAGGTTACATCCCTCCTTGTGGAATGCTTCAGATTTTGATTGAGATAAGACTGTGGTTTCAGTTGGGCTTTGCTTTTCTCCTCTGGCTGCTGTGTTTCCTCCTCCCGTGGTCTTTTCTCACCTCACACAAGAGGCTTCTGAAAGGATCCCATGTCTCTCTGAAAACAACTGTCAGAACAGACAAGGTGGCAAGTTCTCCTTGTCTTGGAGAAAAAGGTCTCTGTTTGCCCACCCACCACCAAGTGTTTGGGGTTTGGAGCATTTCAAATTGAAAAAGAGGCAGGTTTCTGATCAAAGAGAAGGTAGGCAGATGTATCCATGGCAGTTACTTTTTCAGGTACCATTCTGGTTCCTGTCATTTCAGAGTTCAAATCAATGCAATGTATAGTGAAACTGTGTCAGTTTTTCTTTTAACACTATCACAACTCTGTTAAATTAGCCTGTACATACCTACTTCAAAGACAAAACAAAATTACCAGTGTCAAGTTCACTTGTATAATTTATAAGTTCTTATTCTCGACTATTCCTGTGCTCTGTTTTCTTAAATTAAAGTCTTTTTTTTATCAGCAACTTTGTTTTGGTAACAGGAAAAGCTCTGGCTGTTGAGAGCTTTTAAAAATGCATCTTTATGTTATCTTTTTTTTCCCTTTTCTTCTTCTTTGTCTTATATTTCTAGAGCAGCTTTTGGGGGTGTAATATCATTGTTTACAATGCAAAAGCCTACATATTCAATGAATCTTTCCAGAGGATAGACGCATACTGTAGATCATGTGATGGTGCCCTTTAGTACCACATTCAATTCCTTTTCCAGTGACCTGATCCTGAAAGGTGCTGAGCCTCGCTTCACCTATCTGAACACTCTCCTAATTGTTCACCCTTTGCTATTTTATTGGCTGCTGAGATTTGGCTTTCCTGTATCGGTCTGTGAAATTATACTTACCATATCTACGCTGTGAAACTGTCCTGCATTCCATAGAGGGAGCATACTCAGGACTGCATGGGCAACAAGTAATTCAATAACATTGGAGTCTAGAGCAACCTTCTTGTGGGCTGTGAAACTAATTCAAGAATGACAACCTTTTTTAAGAGACAAAATGCAGAGGGGCAATTCAAGGTGGTCTGAGGGGGATCTGTGAGGATGGCTCTCCTTTGCAAGAGAAGGTGGCAGAACAGCAGGCCAGGATGTGAGTGCTCAGTTGAGGGGCAATCTGCCCTGTGCACTGCTTCTACTCTCCTTGTCTGGTAGTTCCTTGCAGTTCAGCCTGAGGGAGGAACAATGTCCTACCTTGTTCCAGCAAAGTTGTTTATAAACATGTGGGTTAGTAGTAATTGTAATGGCAGCTTAATCTACAAGCCACTTAAACCAGAGTACTTGACTTTTGACTCTTTGGTCCTGCTGAACAGCGGAACTTTGACACTTGCACCTGAGCATCCTGTTGAATCTGAGGAGAGTGTTTCTGCTGCATGCTGACTTGGCTCTAAGAATGATGTTTTGCCGAAACAGGCTGGGTATTACTTTGATCATTACGGGATTGAAACTATGGCAAAAAGGGCCCATAACTTATTTTGAACAAGGGGAATCTCTTTTGGACTGAGCAAGATTCTCTTTCACCAGTGATTTTTTTAAAAAAAAATCCATGCCAAAATCTGTATTTAAATATGTATTTTGAATGCATTTTTTTCATATAGTTTGCATTTCTAAGTCTCCTTTCTCTTCAAGTCCATTTCTAAATGCATTTGGTTGTAAAAGACACATTTTTATACAGATTTCTGAAGAAGAGAACTATATCACAAAACATGAAGAAGTGCAAAATCCACATTTTGGTCCACCTGTTTTGTCTAGCAGGTACCGATCAGGTCAGTTCATATCAGAATTTGCCAAGAATAAATTCCTCGGTTGCTCCTAGTTCAAAGAGATCTTTGCTTGTGCCTTTGAGCAAGTGGCCCATGGCTTCCTAAGAGGACTTGAGCCCTCTGTTACTTATTCATGCAAGGGAAAAAGAATGTTAAGGAATTCATACCTTGTGCCAAAATGTGTCTGTGCATGTCTTAGAGGTATATAATGGGAAAAGATCTTCTGTAATCAGGTGCTACACTGAAGGCCTGACGAAGACCCCTTCATGCCTCTGTTTCATGTTCCTGGTTTATCCTGTGCCAGCCCAATGGACATTTCCTACGTGAGAGGAGAGGAATTTCAGGTGCTTCGACATTGCTGGCTCTCTTCAAATCTAAGAAACAATGCCAGTTTACATGTTTACATGGACTGGAATTTACCTGTATCTTGAACTTGGGTCTATTCCTGGAGTTTATATTCCTTTGTTGGTGTTCTGAGTTTCCACCTCTGATTCAAGAAACAACAAAGGTAGCCAGATGTATCTGGGCTACCTCTGCAACTTAACACCATGGATCATTGCTATTGGCCATATATTCTGGCTGTGGTAACCCAGTGAGCAGCTGGCACAAGGTAAGTTTTGATCAGTTAACATCCTGCACTTACAAGATGTCATTTTAAGAGTGAAATGATGACCTTAAGTGGAAGCCATGGGGGGGAGGGGACAATGATCTTTCTGCAATGAGGTGGCTTTGTTTGGGAAGGCTTTTTAGCTGGGAGTCTTGAGGCGTGAGAAGGCTACAGAGGGAAGCTGAACCTGGAAGCATTTTATAATGTGAAAATTGGTTATGTATTGAAACCATCCCAGTTGCAATTCAAATGAGGTAATCATTAAAACTACTGGAAACTAATGGAAACTACTTAAGACAACACCATGCATGCATGCCAGACATCCTATATTAACATTTCCTGTGATATGAAGCCAACTGCAATATATAATGTAACCTATTTAATGCTTGGAGGGTGGACCCAGACTCATAGACATCTACTGTTAAAGATCAATGTTTTCTTCAATTAAATGCTATTATGTTCTTGTGGTAAAATTATGTTGATGATGCATAAGCAGGCTAGTAGAATATAGAACGTAAATGTTCCAGTGCAATTTTTTTCTTTCCCCTTCTGAACTCCAGACATTTAAAAAATGAAACAAAAAACAATCATCGTTGATCAGATGCCATAGAGGGCATTGTTATTCAGATTGCACTAAACCTAATTAATCTAATAATTGAAGTGGGAGAGGAAGGGGAAGCTGGCAGGATTATAGGAGCCTGCAAACATTGTCATAATCATGTGCCCAGTATTGTATTCTAGGGAAAGCCATGCATCCCTCTTTGTTTGGGATGATCTGCACAGTGGATTGCCTGGTATCTTTTACATTAAGAGATATTCATTGTTTTAACAGGATTGTCCTTTGGATTGGAAGAGCACAGTTCTAGTTCCCCATTAAATGATTTACTGCATGCAAAGTTAGCTCCCGTTTGCTCACAGAGGTGCACAGGCCATAACGTTTTCCCCCTGCATTTCCCTGGGAGAGAGTAGCACTGCGCAAAGCCCCTTTGAGCATGTAGAATTTACATTCACTATTGAAAGAAATGTGTGTGAGGTTGCTGGACTAACCTATTCTATATTCCACAGCCCTAAAACGACTCTTATCCTAGGCTGTTTGATCTAGTAACCATAACCTGTGAAGTCTTAACCTCTCCAGTTTAAATTGTATTGTGTCATTTTGGAAATGGTTCAAACCATTCTAAAACATCAGAATTAATTAATCTCCTCCCCCCTCCATTCCTTTGTTCAGTCGGAAGATAATTTTATTTTAGAAAACTCATGCTACACTGGACAGGATGAGGGCAAAGGGGAGCAACAGGGACATAATCATTCCCCCATGGGGTGGTGACATTGTTTCAGAACCTTGGTGGGTTTTTAAAATCTATTTCTATTAAGTATTAAATTTTCCACTGGCAGATAACTATGTTGTGTTTCTTAAATGGGGCTTTGTTTGTGTTCAAGGAGCCTTATTACTGAATGAAATTGCACAAGTTTTTCTTTGTGAAATCAAGCCATTGTTATTGGTAGGCTGGTAAAGGAAACAGTGGAATCTAATTGGCAACAGAGTAATAAATCTATTTACCAAGAACTAGTTCCAGGAATTGTTGCAATGCCAACACACACTGTTCAGGATTTATTAGAGTCTGAAGACTGATGAGATTCAAAACTTAATTTTTTCTTTCATACAATATCTTGTTAGAAACTGTTCACAATAGATGTAGAGTAATGTCTTTTCCAACTGAATTCTCACTAAGATGTAGAGTGGAGACTGAAGTTAAGTAATGTCTTTTCCAACTGAATTCTCACTTTGCTAGTTAAGAACAGATAAAGGAGTTCACCATTTTAATCAAAGCCCAAAGTAAAGCTAAGACATAGTTCTAGCTTACAGAATAATTTTTTAAATATATAGGACTTGAAACAACAACAAAAATTGAGCTGCACCAAGAGCCCCATTTAATAGAGCATCTCATGTAATGTGGTTGTGGCTATTTCTGGGGTTTCAGTCATGCCACTCCAAGGAAAGTCTTTGTCTTGATGGACCAGACAATGTTGGAATAGTTGGTTGTGATTTTGGCCCTGTTGCTCCCATATTCAAAGAAACATCTGTTTGTGCCACCTCTGTGGGTTGGTTTATTGCTAGGCTGATACACAAGCATGTAGTCCGGGTTGGATGTTATGGGTGGATGCAGAGCAGGATGGGATGCTTGCTTTTTGGATGGGTGAGTGAATGGCTCCTAGAATTTCCCAGCCAGCTTGGCCGTGGACATGCTAGATGGTAGTCCAAAGAATGCAACTTTTCCAAACTTAGGTCTGGGTGTTACTGATACTACTGTAGGAGCAACCACAGGGAAAGCAGCCCTTGTCCTCCCTCCCTGAGTGTGATTATCATGTCTGATTTCAGACGGCAAGCAGGGTCGGGACTGGTCTAGTATGTAAGTAGGACACCAGTGGGGGGTATCATGGGTTTCTGTAGTGTACTGAGGGTTTGTCAATTTTTAACCCTGTGTAAACTGGCCATGGCAGTGCTTGCCGTAGTTGGGCAGTTTATAGATTGAACAAATATATACATAGATACATACAATTTCCAAGTAGGGCTAGGACAGAATCCTGCCTGAAACTCTGGCAAACCATTGCTGCCAAGCACAGTTGGCAATGCTGGGCTAAATGGATCCAAGATACCTTTGGTCTAATAGACCCAATGTAAGGCAGCTTCCTATGCTCCTGCCCTCCTTCGTGCAACATTTCAACAGGGCCAAAGCCACATCTCATTTTTTCTTGGATAGTGGTGCTCATAACCTCAAACTCTCATAGACTGCTGTGTGGCTATGGAAAGCCAGATATATTTTGTGGTGTGTGCCTTTAAAGGGAGAGATGGAATATTGCTTATACCTTATTGCACTTGGTTAGATTGTGTGGCCGTGAGCATGGTCAAGCCTGCCCCCATTTCACAATTTTTATCGCTTAATAGTGGGAAAAAATTTCACTGACATGAGGTCCGCAGTATTGAAACTATCATCATGAGCACTTAAACGGTGTTTGCTGTAAATGTATTTGATATTTTACATGTATCTCCCTTCCCCATAGTTTTAAATATGATCTAACAAAGGCAGCATAATCTACTAGCTGTTTA